GTGATGGTTTTTCTGGGGGAACTAACCCATGAAAAACGAGTTTCAGATCAGTACTTCGATGCCCGATGGACTCAGTAACTAGTTTGTAGCCCTTTGAAACTGGGTATATAGCAATAACATCACTTATTTACTGCTTAACCAACATCAACCGGCTTATACTCATCAAATGGCCTGTTGAAAAAAACAAGAAACCACCTACTTCACCCATCTCCATGGTCCATGTCCTCATCGCCAGGTTCCAGGACGAGGATCTCCTGGTCCTCGCGAAGCCGGCGGGAAAACTGGCCTGGGAAGATTCGCGGCATCGCCACGAGCGCGGCACGGCGCTGAAGGTGGAAGCAGACGCCTGGAAGAGTGCAGGATAATCAGGGAATGTGTTACAACAAAAAAGGAGGGAAGCGAAGCAAAAAAAAAGTTGGAATGCAAGCACATTGAAGCCACATTATAGGTCCGGGGTCCAGGAACATATCCAGATATAAATGGCTATAAATGGAGATTTCACCAACAAATGCTGGGGGCTGGGGACATTGCAGCAATCAGCTAATCTAATTCTGGAGGTTGTAGATGATTTTATCTAGTGTCATGGGTTAAATGATGGGGTATTCGGGATTCAACGAACAATAAATTGTCTCCTAAACCCGGAACCCTAAACCATTGAATGCGTATGCCTTGGTCTTCCAAATGTTTATAGTTTGTAAAAAACATGTCAATACCCCTAACACAGTGGCTGGTTGAACACATGTTCGGACCAATGCCGTGGATTCTTGAGCCATGAACAAGCCATACCCGTTGTTTGCGCCACAGCCATGTGTAGCCACAACTAAAAGAGACATCCCACCAAAGTGACAGGAATTGACTGTTCTATATAGTTCTTGTAGGATCTTGCAGGATTATATATATATATATATATATAGCGTACAATCTCGTAATCTGAGTGGGGTGGGGGTAGGTTTGGTTGTGACAGGTGTGAGTCCCTGGACCAACGGGTCACTTCTTCACCACTTGGGTCTGTCCACAAATGAGGTCAATTCATCCATTGGAAGTTCATAGGAGTACATAGTTGTTCATCATCATCATCATCACCACAACCACCACCACCATCATCATCATCATCATCGTCATCATCATCATCATCATCATTGTTAAGTACAAGACTTTCCTGACTGTACATGTTTCAGTTCCCCTTGCACATGTAGTTGGTACATACCTGGCTTGGTACATGACTTGGCTCTATACAGGGCCCTTGAGCGTACACAGTGAAAAGTGCAGCTCATGGTACAGCTGCTGGGCTACAGGGAGTTTGTCAGTACAGAGTGAAAGACAGTTCAACCGAGTTTTACATGGCAGCGGAGCAATGATCCCTGGACGGTACAGGACGATGAGCTCCAACACGCAGAGCAACAAAGCAACAGCAGTTGAGAGAGCACAACAAGACAAACATGGCCGCAGCTGGAGGAGAACTACAATCAATGCACAGGTGCAAACTACAACCACCATACTTCACAGGAGACTATGCAACATTTTGAGGAATGGAAGCGCAAGATGGTAGCCTACTTTGGACTACAAGACTCAGAATTCCCACGACTACTACGAACAGCAGAAACATCCAACATGGAGGTTACAGACGCCCTCCTTAGAGATGGAGTAGCTACACCACAAGAAGCACAACTTTGGGTACAACTCAGTAGAGACCTACACTACATACTGGTCAGCGTTTGTTCAGGACAAGCAGCAGTACTGTGCAGACAGCACAGTACACAAGCACAAGGCTTGGAGACCTGGAGGCAACTACACAACAGGTTCTCAATACCAGCCGGTACACGCAGTGTAGGATACCTTACAGAACTATTCAAGCCACAATTCAACGAACAGAAATTTGAAAAGTCATTTACAACATGGGAGTTTGAAATCGCCCGGTACGAAAGGGCACCAAACAACATCAAAATTGCAGTCCTACACAACGAAACAAAAGGAGCATTACAACAATACCTACAACTTTGACCAGGTACAATCCAGCGTTATACTGCTGTACGTGAACTCATGTTTGAATATCACAGAGCAAGTACAGCGTTTTCCAAGATGCAAGCCCAACAACAAGCATTCAACACAAGTTCAGGTTCAACAGACCCACAACTACTGGACACCAGCCTGATGTACAGAAAAGGAAAGCACAAGGGCAAAGGAAAGAGGTATAAAGGACAAAGTAAAGGAAAGACACAGTGGCACAACAAAGGAAAAGGATACACAGGATACAACAACAGTGGATATGGCAAAGGCAAAGCACAAACACCAATTGGTTACGGCAATGCGTTGAAAGCATCAGGATACGCACCAGTCAAAGGAAAGACAAAAAGTAAAGGACCCCCGACATGGCAAGGAGACAGAGGAAAAGGCAAAGGAGCATGCTACAAATGTGGACAGATGGGCCACATGGCAAGAGATTGTCGTATATGAGTTAGCTTTTTTTAAAGCCTCGTAAACAATGCTTTTAAAGCTCCAAGAGACGCGGTGAACGTAGGGGGTACGAGTGGCTAACGGACGTGGTGACGAACGTAAGGCGAACGAGTGAACGGACGAGTGCACGTGTGAGCGAACGAGTGAACGGACGTGTGCGTACAAGTGGACGGACGTGTGCGCGTACGTGCGTGCGTTTGCACGTTCACTGGCCGCGTGCGCGCGCACGTACGAAAATAAGGTCGACTGGAGTCGACCTTATTTCTGTACGTGCAAAGCGCTACAATACTAAATCAATACTAAAGAGGCAGGGTCGTGCAAAAATAAGGTCGACTCAAGTCGACCTTATTTTCGTACGTGCGCGCGCGCGTGGCGAGTGACCGTGCAAACGCACGGACGTACGCTCACACGTTCGCTCGCACGTACGCTCACTCGTACATACATACGTTCGCACGTACGTTCACTCGCACGCATGTCGTTCACACACACGTTCATACCCCCGTTCATGTCACTCGTCACTACACGTACGCTAGATAACAAAAATATTTTTACGAGACTTTAAAAAAAGCTAATATATGAGTGTATGACGTGGCAGAAGCGTTAGGCGAACAAAGCACGGACCAACAACAACACTACAATGAGGAGCAGTACAACCAACAATAGTATGACCCACACTACCAACAATGGAATGAACAAGAGGCATGGCAGCATGACCAACAGTGGTTTCCAGAGCAGCAGGCACAAGAGTACACACAACAACAAGCACCAACCTTGCAACAGGCACAGACAGTTTCTTCAGTGAAGGTTGAAGAACTGTTTGTAGCGTTAGTTACACGCACAGACCTCAACACGGACTCAGCAGTAGCAATCGTGGTTGACAGTGGAGAAGCAGCACATGTTTTTTCACCAAGCTTCGGTGCAGACTTCCCATTGCAGAAACTTACACCAGACGAGACACCACCACTGCGCTCAGTTACAGGTGAGTCTCTCAAGATCCTTGGGTACAGATGGATCAGGCTTTTCAACAGACAAGGAAAACACATGGTGATTCGCTTTTACGTGCGTGAAGGGATACAACACCCAATCGTCAGCGTTGCAAGGTTGCTGGCAAAAGGCTTCAGCCTCACACTCACAGGTACAGAGTCAAACGCTTACACAGGGACAAGGTTTCAAGGTACCACTCACGCGGAAGAACCAACTCCTATACATGCACCTGGAACTCGCACCCCTTGAACAAGGCTACAACCTGGTCATCAGAAACACACCAAAAGGACAAGCAGCAATAATTGCACCGACGCATGGCCTTACACCGACAGGACCACGTGTACAACAAGGAGGAAACAACGACTATTGGAAGTACAACGAGCAAGGGTACCTGGCTAGAGTACACAAGAGAGACAGGAAAGCAATGTTCATACCAGACCACGGCAAGCAATCTACATGTCCAGCACCCTTGGACAGATTTGACAACTACAGAAGAACAGTTATCCACAGAGAACAGCAGAAGCCTGTTGTACTGGAGGATCAGTACAAAACATTGACGAAGGAACAGAAGAACAGAGAGCCTACTGGAGGCCTTTGGCAAGGAGAAACATGGTTCAGGATACCCGAGCAAAAGGAAGGTGTAATCAGGATCCAGCAGGAGCAAGCACAAAGCAAGCAAAGCACTAGCACACCAGTGCTTATGAGGCATACAGGCAAGCAACCTGTAAAGGAGACAACAGTTCCACCACCAGAGAAAGTACAACACACAACAGACTAGTGGACCAGAGAAGGACATTGGAAGAGAGTACATGTGATACCGAGAACAGAATTCTACGTACCAACTCCAGACAATGGACCACATCAACAAGCTGCTACCAACACGCTACACAAACATACACTCCAAGCACAACATCAGGAGAATTGAAGACAATTGGACAGTTGAACCACAACCTACAAGGAAAGAACACTGGACAGGCCCCACAACCGCCGACGAAAGCATGGAGTACAGCGAGGATCTGCTCACGGAAGACGATACACATCGAATGGCAACACGAGCAAAGGCAATGACAATGCCTACACAATCGACACCACAGGAAATACAGGAACATAACATCACACACACATGCCATACAGAAGTTGGTGTCCAATCTGCGCACAAGCAAAAGGCAGGCAAGCAAATCACCCGAAGCAGACATCGCGGCAGCCAATCGTACAAGTTGATTTCACCTATACATCATCAATTTCGGTGACAAATTTCCCACACCGGTACTTACAGCAATCGACATACAAACAGGCATGGCAATGGCAGCAGTGAGTACAGGCAAAAACAATCAGTTCAGCTACGCGCAGACCTGTTTACAAGCATTTCTTTTGGAGCGTGGCCGAACAGAAGGCATTCTACAAAGCGACAAGGAAGAGTACCTGATAGCACTACTCAAAGCAACAGCTAAAGCATGTGTCAACATGGCAGTACGCTTTTCACCTGCGTACAGCTCACAAAAGCAACGGGAACGTTGAAAGGTACCACCGTACACTGACAGGACAAACCAGAACACTGAGAG